TGTTGGACTCCCGGCTCGCAAACTGGACTTTAATGCTGTGCATTGGATTTGTGTAAAATCAATGTCAGGGGATGATTAGGGGCCCCCTTCCCTTTTCCCACCTTCTCTTTCCCAGCCCTCTTTATATGGGGCAAGCAAAGTAGTTAAAAATGTCAAACTCACAGTACGCACTGTCAACAACACAATGAGGAGGCTGAAATAAAATCCTCCAACCTCATGGTGATACTTTATACTTACATAGAGCCTTTCATCAGTGTTGCAGGAACATTAACCCTTGCTGAACCTCCTGGGCTGGGCCCAGAACCCATTGGTTGTAAACACAAAAGGATGGGGGGATTACACTTCTCATTTGGAAGAATCTTCAGGTTCTAGGCAGATTCTCAAAGTTGGTTGAGTTTCACATCTTGCCAGGCCCCCTTCACTTTCAGCATACCTCTGCCATATCAGCCTCCTCTCCAAAGGCCAGTGGTGGCCCAGTAGTGTCAACAGATGACACGCGTATTGAGGGTCCAGCAATCAGCCCTCACTTCTCCAGTGAGGGGAAAAAAGTGTTAGCAAGCTTGACATTTGATATGTCATGAAATGCATCAAAGCAATCATTATGGGAGTAATCTGAACTTTGCTGGAACTCCTTACACTTACTTTATGGTTTGGGTCTTATTTTGTTTGATTGATGTATGGGGGATAGTGTAACATCTGCAGCCACTCGAGCCTATAAATGTCTTTAGCCCACTCTGTGTTTGGGTCCATCAACGTGGCGTTTGTTTTGTTTTTCTAAGTTGCACTTTGTGCACCAACTCCATGTCAGATAGGGTCTGTTGTCGATCATGTTTTCCAGGAATTTTCTAATTGATCTCGGTGCTCTTTCCTAGGGACCCTGAACAAAACAATATGATTTTTTAAAATCAATATCTGATTATAGACAAGGAAGTCATGTTTTAACTTCTCTTTTTTATAAACAGTGCTTCCATCTGCATGACCATAATGTGGGTCACCTTCTAAACATGCAGATTCTCAAGCCCCCTAGAGACTCTCTCAAAGTCATGTTAACTTGTGAGTGCTTGGCCCATGTTGGGGTGCTTGTAAAATCTCCTCTGCTTCTTCCTACTTGTGATCACATTGACTCTTACATGGCTGACTGTGTCTGAAGTCCTGGTAGGACCATTAGCTCTAGCAGAAGAGCTAATTGGTACAGAGGACATCTACATTGGTACAGAGGACCTCTCTTCACTGAGGACTCATAGTGTAAAGGGAAGCAGGAAGTGAACACATCTAAATGCCGGCTCTCCGATATTTTCTCCTTCCCACAATTGGATCTTGCCTATCCCAAAGAGCATGGAGAATTTGCTCCACCAGGATGCTCTGGGACTAAACCCTGTGAGTTTGATTCCCCACACTCCTTGCACTTCTCCATTTGGAAGAGCTACACAGAAAGAGACTGGGTTATGTAAAGGGGCAGAAGTCACACTTGTTTGGAGTTGAAATCTGAAGCTCTGTTGAATGCCCACTGCCATATATTTGTACATAGGAATCAGAACTGGTTATTTTCTTAATGGCCCCAAGCTTCTACTTCCAATTTGTTAGTATTCATATTGGTATACCAACTCTCTTTTCAATGTTTCTCGTCATCAGAGGAATCTAGGGCTCCACAGGACACTGGAGAGTGAGGTAGCCTGAGTTGAAGGTTGGATCTGCTGCTGGCTATAGACATGATCAGATTCAAATTTAAGAAAACAATGTATCTCTCTGAGGCTCAGTTGCCTGGGTTGTGAAAGGAGATTGAGGACATGGTATGTATCTCACTGAGTTATGTTAAGGGTACATTAGATGATGCACTTACAGAATCGACACATAGAAATACTTAAGAAATGGTTACTGTTAGGTTGTTTGTGGGAATTAGAGCAGAAGATGAGGAGATCCAGACATTGGAGGGAGAAATTGAATCTGCCAGGATGGTCTTGGTAGGTCCTTTGTGATACAAGATTATCAGGAGGGAGCAGCTCTTGGGGTCCTTTGGTTATTTTTCACACTGTACAGATCTGATTACTGTCTTTAACTTTAGAAATCTTCACAATTTAAGAGTCAAAACATTTTATCTGAAGAATACAGCTTACTTTTTTAAAAAATGAAAAAGCCCATAAATCTGCCTGTGATCTCACTCCCAACAGTCCTTGATTGATAAGGAATGAGAAGACCTCACATGAGGATGGACTGGGAGGGTGAGCCAAGCATCTTGGAAAGTGGTAGTGATTTCAGCAGCCCTATTAGTTGATCACCTAGCAGAGGGGCTGTGGGGAGGATAGACCTGTTCCCACTCACCCTCAACTGCCCTCTCTTTATTTTTACACTAAGTTATAAGTCAAGTATGTACAGCACTTGTATTTAACTCTTGCTTAGAAATGTATGACCCTCTGGGCTCCAAATGTACAGTTAAAGAGAACCCGGCCTCTGGGTCCTATCATAGGTAAACTAACACCACAACCAACAACAAGACCCATGTAGGAAATATGGGCACATATTCCTTTTTTGAAACCATTACAGACATAAGGTATCTTCTCACTGTGAGGTAGGACTCCAGTGTGCAATGGAAATAGTCCTTTGGAAAACATACCTGACCTTGGTGGAAACTTTCAGTCATTCTTTTTCTTGGACATTTTTCCCTCTAAAAGAAAAACATAGTGTCTAATCTGTAACTTATGCCCTGGAGTTTTACTACAGAGGCTCTCAGGCAGTGTGGAGGGTACACAGGCGTGGGTCTTGTGCCATCACTGCAGGCCACTGAAAAGCCCTAGGTCTCTTCTGAATACAGCTCTGAAGACTCACTGTACCTTACACTTTTCCAACCTCCCACTAGAGGATCCCTTCCTGTTAGACTAGCCAGAACAAGGAGCTGGCCAAACCTGCACCTCTACAAGTTTTCTGACTTGTCTGCAATACTTGCTGGGGACCAGTGAACTTAACCAAAGCAATTCATACTTGTCTCCCTTAAAGCTCCATTTGTCAAACTGCAGTTGCACAGGGAAAGGTCAGCACTTTATGTTCTCAGCACTTAACCTTAATCACTCTTAAGGTGGAAAGCGTATAAGAGGTTTTCAAATTAGTTCTTAAATGTGATGGGAAGCCGGTGTCAGTCTTTGGATCAGGAATGAAAACTAAGTACCTGGTTCCCCCTCTTGTCTATCATAGTCCCTTTCTATACTCTGATGCCTCTGAGGAAGAATGTCCCAGCATCCATTCAACTAATAGAGCTTCATCAAGCAAACATTAATATCAGACATTTGGTAAAAGAATAGCTAGGTTTCCCCGTGAGATATATTCTGAAAAACTGTCTCATCATTAAAATTATTTTTTGATAACAAAAATGGAATGTGATCATTGAAAAGAAACATCAAACCACACAGAAGCATATAAAAGAGGTGATTCCTCCCACTTCACGTCCCCCAAAATAATCAACATTAATAATTTGTGTAATTGTTCTCATCATATACCACGTACAATATTGGAATTTGGATTATTCATTCAGTAAGCAACCATCTAACTCTGTCCTTGTTAGCATATTAAGTTACCTTGATTTACCTTTTTTCATATCAATTAACATTTAAGTTATTCTTATTGGATGACAAATAATCCTGTAAAGAACAGTCTTCTGCATACATATATATATATATATGTATATATATATATATATATATATATATATATATATATATATATCTCCTAGTGTTCTTCATACTTGTGGGGTCACTATGGAAAAGTGAAATTGCTGGGCCTAAGAATTTGCACGTGTTAAATATTTAGATATCTCTAATTTACTTCAATAACATGTTCATTTCAGATCAATTGGTAATTTATAAAATATATGCTGTCTTTGATTCCTACATGAAAGTGGCATATTCTGGGGTTTTGAGATCCTGCCAAATCAATAATCAATTGCTATTCTTTGAGAAAATAATTTTCAGACACAGAGTGAGCACCCACTGTAGGTAGGTAGTGAGATGCCAGGGAGTGAGATCTACTAACCTTGTTCTTGTCACCACCCTCAGTGCCTTCCTGCTCTGCATTTCTGTCTAGCATTCTGCTATGGCCGGGGATCTGGGTATAAACAAATAAACAACACTTTCAGCACACTGGCTGCTCTCAGAGACTTTTCAAACTGAGTTGGGGAGACAGAACACAGATGGCTAAAAAACAAACTAAAAATACTAGTCAGTGTATAAAAAGCAGTGAATAAATATAAATAGTAAGCATCGTTATAGCAGCCCAGAGGAAGGAAGGAAAACAGTGGCTGGGGTGTTCAAGCTTCATAGGAGGGACTCAGTGCTGGATGTGTGGAATGTCTCTAGGTGGGGGCTGGGGTGGGTGGGGAGACAACTATAAAAACTCTTAAGAACCAGCTGACAGAAAAAGAGATCTGATGAGAGAGTGGAAAATAGGGAAAAGTGCCCACTTTTATTTTGACAGTTGAAAGTGAGTGAGGTTCATAATATTGTTTGAAATTATTTGTGGTTCTTGGCAGAAATTCTTATTTATTCTTATTTATTTATTTATTTATTTATTGAGTGATGGGGGTGGTACAAATTATTAAACATTTGAGAACTAAAGGAAACCTTCCAGCCTTCTTCCCCGGGTGGAGGATGCTGCGTATTATCACGTTTGCAAATACACACAAAATTTTCCTTAGGATTTCAGAGCGCCCTTCCTTCTCCCTAAGTTGAGAAACTTTAAAGGGTCTCAAAAAAAAAAAAAAAAAAAGTTGCAACTCCAAGTAATCCATCTACATGAAAAAAGTTGGTCCGGTATATAGATCACAGTAAAAAGTTATTATGCAATGTAAGACACAACTAATAATATATATTTATGAATCATCAAACTCTGAAACTGACTCGAAGCAGGTGGGTAAACAACCTGAGAGTGCCGCCCTGGCACTTCAAACTTTCCTCCACGTCTGCAGTTTATCCAGCCTGCATCGGTAGAGGCGATTCTCTGGCTTTTTTCGCACCTCAAAGAAGCCAAGCTCTCAAAAAATGTGAATCAATGGGATTATTTACGCGTGTATAACTGGAATCCACTCCAAGAGACCGATTTTGCTGCAGAAAAAGATACTCTTGCTCCCCACCCCCTCCTTTCTTTTTGACAGTCAGTTAATAAAGACTCAACAATAAGCAGCTGCCAGTGATGTCATTTGGGACTTTGTCCACGGAGCTTGTATTTACAAGCTCGGAGCAACTACGGAGCCGCAGCCCAGGGAGCAAGTCTCCGCAAACTCGCCCGGGATTCGCGGCAGGATCTCGCTGATGCCGGTGGATATTCAGGAAAACCGAGGAGTCTCTTAGCCGCGGTCTTTGAATGCTTGAAACGTAAACAGAGCAAAACCGCGGGAGGAGATTTTTAGCAGCAGAGAGGTTGAGTGGTTGCAGTTCCTCTGTCTGTCTCCAGGACTGTGTGATTTGTGTTCACTGAGGAGCTAACTACAAGTAAGACTGTTGGGATTTTTTTTTTTTTTAATTCTTGTAACAGTTTTTTTTCCTGTTTATACAGCTTGCTTTCCTTTTAAAGTGAGATGATGATGTTTACGCTTTTCTGCAGGCTCTCTCTCGGCAGCCACAAGTATGCATTTCTTCCAAGTAATTATAGTGCGCTAAAGTTGACTGGGGTTAGGTGGAGAGGACATATAGACTCAGGACAGGCACCACGATGCAGATGGATGAATTGCTAATCTGCATTTGCCTCTGCAGTGAGGTGGAGTTTGGTGGGTTTTTTTTTTTGTTGTTGTTGTTGTTGTTGTTTTTGCTTTTTGTGTTGTAAAGTACCAACTGACCAAACAAACAACAACAAAAAAAGCTGTTAGGTTGACCTATGCAGTTTAACTGAATGCTATAGACTAATTTTAATTAACTTGTTGCTAGAGAGGAAAATTCCCCTTTTCCTCTGATTTGTTTTTTTATGTGTGATTTCTAATGTGTGCTTGTTGACTTTCATAGTCTTGTTCTTCATCCTGCTGTGCCCTCTCCTCCGACCCTCCCCTTTTCTTTCTTTCTCCACCCCCCCTCCCTCTCCTCCTCTCTCAAACTCATTCATTCTCAGGTGCTAGTTAGTATGCATTAAAAAAAAATGTTTTGAAATTCAAACCCCTTCTATGTGGATTTCCCCCACAACCACCACCCACATTGAGTATCTGATGTGCCTTCTGAGTTAGCAACTGGAGTTAAAGTACTACTGAAAAAGTCAACTTTGACACTCAGCTTGTTGGTGGGCAAGATCTATATCCTTTCTTTCACTTTTCCCAGGGCTCTAAAACTCTCTTAAGTATTCTCTAGGATTTAAACAGGAAGCAGGCTCCCTGCACCAGCAGTCTGGACAGGGACTCCGTCTTTTTTTGCTGCACTGGCTCTCCTCCTGTGGTGTGAAGTTCTTCATATGAGTCTTGTAAACTTGTCTTTCTGTGGGTCCTTGGAGCTGCCTGGGATTTCCTCCTTAGCGCCTGCAGTTCAGCCACTTGCAGCTAGTAGCAAATCACCACTGATTCCTGCCCTCTAGACCTGACAGCCGGCTGGCAAGAAGTGGCTGTTAGCCTGTTAGCTCCTGCACGCGAAACCCATGACTCATTCCAGGAGACTGACTTGCTCCTGAATTCAGCTGCTCTGTCACCAGCTCAGGAGCACCTTGACAGCCCTGACTGCCTTTCCCTCAGAAGCCAGTATAGGAAGGTCCTAAAATATTCAACTCTTTTCTATGGAGTCCTTGTGGTGTCAGCTCCCAATTTTTCCATCAGAGCACATGCTGCTTGGTTGTGTTTTATATATTAGAGCTTACTGCTATCTGCAGGTTTTTGTACAAAATAAGGGATTTGCTGTTAACATAGTTTGCAAACTATTAATGGAAGTTTATCATTTATTTTACAAAAGAAAAATTGGGTCATGAGGTGGGGTGGTGATTTGTCAGAGACACCCAGTAAGAGGGTACTAGAGCTCCCACTAGAAACTGTGTCTTCCATGCCCACTCCAGCATGCATTCTGCTCTTCATGTTCTTAAAGATTAAAAAGAAATGTGATCCACATATGTTTCGTATGCTTCTTGCAGGAGCAGAGCTGTGTGCAGGTGTACAGATGAAGGTGGTCTGGCAAAGACTGAATGTTCCTGTTTTGTCTTTGGCTCTGGTTACATTTCTTTACGTCTCTGTTCCTCATTGTTGTTTTCACTAGCAAATGAAAGGGAACCCTGTGATTATTTTACAGTTGGCCTAGAGGCGAGCAAGGTAATAGCTGAATTAGTACAGAAGGTATTTTGAATTGAGTGCGGGTTGGGCTAGCTAAGGTGATTCCCAACTCTGATAATGTTGTTTCTGCTTTACTTCCAAGTCTCAAACTTTTTGTACACTATAACTTGCTTGTTTTCCTCCACTTATGGACTCCCTTTCCAATGGAAGCTTTTTCTTCATTTTTTTCCTTGATGGCCCCTCCCATTTCATCCTCTCACTACAGCCTGGACCTCAGATCCCAGTATTCCACAGGCCCCACTTATGCCCTGCATTCCTCTTCTCTCTGGAGCCTTCCTTGCCCTGACAATCCCACCTGGGGGTACCTCTGTGGACTCTACAGATCCAAGTGATCTTGCACTTGTACTTGTTTGGCTTCTCATGGTATCTTGTGCTAGCTTTTGCCAATGGGATCTGGAACTCTTGGGCCGCATAAATATCTCCTTCCATTGAAAGCAAACGCTATGTTGTGAAACTTCCTTTGTCCACAAAGAAGTTATTTAGTGCATGATGCTAAATATATGAAAGAATGAATCAAATATGCATTTCCCCACATCAAATCCTCAGGCTTCCACACTTGGGTTGACAAAATTATCTGTTAACTGTGCTTAGTGGCTTTCAATTTTTCTTTACTCTGGTGAAGGCCTGTGATGCCAGAATTCTGAGCACAAAATACTGGGCTATACTTGATGGGATGCCTGCCACTCTACCCTGCTTCATTTCTTTGTGCTCCCTGCATATACTAATATCTGTGCTGGAGTTCTGCTTGCATCAGAATCTTCTGTCCTGGGGACACTGTGGCATATTGATTAAGGACTTGACTCTGGAAATGGCATTGCTGGGGCTTAATCCCTATTTCCTTCACTTGCTGGCTTTATGATCCCACAGTTAATCCACTAAATTTCTTTTTTGTTGTTGTTGTTGTTTCACTTTCTCATCTTTCAAATTTGGATAGTAATAGTTCCTGCTTCGTGGAAGGGTTGGAAGGTTGAAATATATTCACATAGCTAAGACACGTAACACAATGCTAGGCATACATTTAGTATAACTGAGTATTAGCTATCATTGTCACTATTTACCTTGCTGACGCATGCCTCCCTTCCCAGACTTAATGAATCAACATCTCCAAGGTGGAATTCAGTTGCGTTTATAGTTAAAAGTTCTTCCGATGATTCAGAGAGGACTACTGGATTATTAGCAGCCGGGACTTGCTTTCTGTGAGCCGAATATTCTCTTCAGCACCTCTCCACTTTTGTACTCATGTAGCACTACTGTGGTCCCTCTCCAAATACCAGGTTTGTCCTCCCAGCTCGTGCTTACCCTTCCCCTCCTATAAGCAGTTTTCCATGCCCCATGTGCCATGGACAGAGGTCCTTATGCACTATGGAAGTATGTGTTCATTGTCCCCTCTTCAGCCTCTGAGTGTCATGAGGATTCACCTGCCTGACACCCACCTTGAGAACTACTATCTTTAGTGAATTACTTGCGGAGTAGATGAAAAAAATACTGCTGACCAAGTTTCTTCATTCCCATTTGACTCTAGGTCCTGTGGCTGCCCCTTTCCCGTGATGTCACCTCCAAGCCTTTCCCCACTCTCAAGTCATCTTTACTGCTACTCCTCTCTGGGTAGCATCTGCCTTCCCCACTTCCAGAGCAGACTGTGGTCTTACGCAACACCACCCCCTTTTTCTCCCCCTTCTCTTGGATGAAGGAGAGAACACACCCATCAGATTCTGACCAAATTCTGTTGGATTGCCTAAACTGTATGACCCCACTTAAAAAGGATATCTTTGCCTTCTGCCTCTGTCACAAGATTGTAGGGGTGTTGAGTTGCCAAATTTGTAATCTTATGCATAGCCCTGCACCTGGCACAGAGTGTGTGGGCCCAATAAATGAGGAGGAAAAGGTAGGACTGTGTTGTTGATGGGCACTCTAAGAGCAGACTTGAATTATTTTCTACTTATATTAATATGGAGTGACTCTTGTATACCAGGCTTATTTCTAAGCTCTTTGCACATGCTCTGTCATTATAGTCATCATATTTATTACCCAAGCAAGGATAACTGAGGATCAGAGAGGTTAAGTAATGTGCACAAGAGTGGTAAGAGGTATTGCAGTGTTTGCACATATGGTGTATACTCTGAATTTCCACCATGCTACTTTCTGGAGATGCAGGGTTGACCTTCGCATGAGCCTCACCCACACTGGAGCTGTGGATACTCACTTGGGCCTCTGGAGTGCTTGTATTGGCAGAATGGTAAATCAGATTAACAGTTCTGAGTGCTAGCCAGTTGATCTAGTGATTCACATGTTCTCCTCTTCAGAAGTATCTAAAGCCCAGGCCCAGCCCCTTTTTTTTTTCCTTTTTTTCCCGCTCTTTAAATCTCAGTTATGAATCTCCTTGAAGATTAACCTAAGTTTATAGTTGAACATCAAAATTATTTGCATTCTTGGTATGGGTGTTGGCAGGCTTGGTCAAGAGTAAAATTGTGGGATTAGATAAAAAGACATAATTGGAAATAATGGTTGGCCATTTGGTTGGTCCCTAGAAAAGTTTCTCCAAAGATGTGGTAGTATTTTGTGAAAGAGGATTTAAACGGCCAGAATGGTTTAGGCTACACACTGGGCAAAGTCACTGGACCGCTTAAGCATAAGATCCTTACAGCCTTATTTCTCTCCAGTTCTTTAATTCTACAAGGTTTAATGCCTCTGGAATTTTGGATTCCCAATTGTGCCTCTTTTACAAATGAAATAATAAATCTCTTGGATACATAGAACATTACCCACAACGTTTACAGTGCCCCAATAAATACTTGTCTAATGAAGTGTATCATGTCGTTTTGGAAGCCCCAATTACACAAGGTACTTCCCAGTAGTTACATAAATTAATCTTAGTATTTTCAGGGCAAGAAACCAGATCTCTCCTCTTAGAAAGAGTGGATTAGTGATTTCTTTGAGTAGAATTTGGATGCACCATAGGAACCCAATGGACCAAGGTCAAGAGGAAAGTCCCGAACCCATTTTGGAGCATAAGCTTGGATAATAACATGGCAGATAAATATTACGGTGTTGAAAGAAGATCTGTTATTTCTGAAATGTGGGAACAAGTGTTACTGTTGAGATGCATGTCTGACAAACTGCCCCACAAAGGGTACATGCTTCATTTGGCAAATTGAATCTGGAAACACAGAACTGAGCCAGGCCAGCCCAGAAGATATG